CCACCTCCATCCTGCTTGTGCTAGTCATGTTCTCCACCTGCAGCTCTGTGCCTATGAGGGGTGCCCACATTCCCCAGCCCTGGCCTAGCAGGCCACCTTTGTTTGACCTAACGCAAAGCCTCAATTCAACCGATAATTACTTGCATCCACTTAACATATTTTTACACCCTTAAGTCCCAACCTTTTCATACCTACAATATTTTAACACAGCTTAAAAGTCTCTCTGTATTGTACCCAAAGGAGTATATATCTTCTAGTTGAAACAACTTTTGGTATAAAAATGTTTTTAGGTGGGATGAAATCAAACTTAAAACTTGAGAAAAGTGATTGAAAAATCATTTTACTTTTAAGTCTGTTGTTTTAAAAAAGGAAAGCAGTGTAAGGGCAGAAGGATTATTGTAAGGCTACAGTCTTATGTGTGTATGAATGTGCCGAGTTTAAATTCTGTGTCTCTCTTCACTGCATTTTATAGTATTGGATAAATTAAAAATATTTATGTTTAATAAAAGGAAAAGAGAGAAGCCTGTAGTGCAGAGGTCCTCTAACTTTTTAAACAGGGGCCAGTTCACTGTCCCTCAGATATTCCACACATGCACACTGCAGGCCCTGGACGAGTCGGCTGCTAAGCAGGACAGGCAGCGGCAGCAAAAACACCCGGCGGGCTGGATAAATGTTTTCTGCGGCTGCATGTGGCCCGCGGGCCGTAGTTTGAGGATGCCTGCTGTAGTGTAATGAGGGAGTGGGCACAGTACTTCGTTGTACAATGTTCTTTATGCTTGAAGCTCCATGAAGTTGAGAATATTCACCGTGACCAGCATTTGTTGTCATTAAATATGAAAGTGAGACCTGGTGGGGAGGGTGGCAGCAGACTTCTTGGGTGAATCTGTTAAGGGCCATTTGGGATGATCAGGGCTCTCAATACTGGGAAGTTAAACACTGTCAGACAGAGGGTAATCAGATGAGAGCATTAGGAAAGTGGATATTAGCAGCATCCCTTTCTTTCTACACATAATTTTTCATTCTTTGTTCACATAACTATTGACTTCTGTTCCAATTCCAGTTTGAACACATATGGAAACTAATTTATGTGTTTCACCAGTGTGGCTTGAATTAGGATATTTGTGCTACTGTTCACTTCAGAACAAAGGCATTTGTGTTACACGGCATGGCAGGTCAAGACCTGACAAGTCCAGGTTGCTAGAGTGACCATGGACTCACAGCTTCCCAGCTTCCACATCTTCCACTGCTCATTCTTCTCCCAACAGCTACCCACTGATATTATGTGCTGAGAAAGAGAAACTGAGGTGCCTATGCAAGACTGTCTTAAAATGGTGGCATGTAAAACAATTACAGAACCCAAAACAACGGGCAGAGGAGACATACTCACACACTGCTTGCTTAGTAGCATCTCACCTTTAGTGTGTTTTTCACCCATAGACTTGCCTGACCTCTCATGTAGAACTTGATGTGTGTACCTTAAATTTGACCTTTATGTAACCACTAGAGGCCTAGTGCACAAAATTCGTGCAAGCCTGGCCTGCACCCTCTCCAATCCAGGACCCCTTGGGGGACATCCCTCTCGTAATCCAGGACCACTGGCTCCTAACCACTCACCTGGCTGCCTACCTGATCGCCCCTAACCACTCTGCCTGCCTGCCTAGTTGCCCCTAACCGCTCTCCCCTGCCGACCTGATCCCCCCTAACCACTCTCCCCTGCCAACCTGATTACACCTAACTGCTCTCCTTTGCCAGCCTGATTGCCCCTAACCACCTCTGCCTTGGCCCCCACCACCGTGGCTTTGTCCAGAAGGATGTCCGGTCTAATTAGCATATTACCCCTTTATTAGTATAGATGTGCCCCACTTTCCCCAGAACAGTCCTTCCTGATGCATGTCTGTAGTCCTAGCATAATTATTAATATACCTCTTTTTCCTCCCAGAAATGGCCTGATTCAGATAAATGATGTAGCATCCAGTTGGTAAGGCTTGGTGCTTGCTGCTCTTCTAGGTTTTCCGTAGCTCTGCTGGTGAGGGAAAGCCTGCCCTGCTGGCTTCTAGGTCCCTTCAGAAGAACTTGTTCTGCTCCCAGCTATCTACTCCATGTCCTCATCAGAGATGCAGCCCGAGAGCTCAACCTGCTCATTTCGGAACTGGACGTTCTAGAGCAGCCGTGGGCAGACTACGGCCCATTTGAAATGAATAAAACTATTGAAAAAAAAGACCGTACCCTTTTATGTAATGATGTTTATTTTGAATTTATATTAGTTCACATAAACACTCCATCCATGCTTTTGTTCCGGCCCTCCGGTCCTCAAGTCAAAAAGTTTGCCCACCCCTGTCTAGAGACTGGTAGTTCACTATGTTTTACAGGGAAGTGAATGACTTTTCACTCGTGGAGAACAGCTGGTTTACCTGGGGCCCAGTGTCTGCCTTTCCTAGGAGTCTTCCTCATCGCCCCAGGCCCTGTTTCCTATGCTCTCTCATTCTGAACAACATGCTTGATTATCCCACTCACAAGCTCTCACGACAAGGTTACCTAAAAGAAAGCATGTGGTTCATTCTTTAGAGTAAGGGATTCAAGTTATTTTCCAAAACGCTAGAAACCATTCACCCTTCATGGTGCGGGCCTGACATCTAGATGTTGGTCAATGTTTGCTCACACAGCAAATGTTGATTGGGGTTACCGTGTGCTAGGCATCATGCAGGTGCTAAGGATGCTACAGTGAGTGAAAGAAAGTTTTAAGGGAGGGATAGCTGTGGTCAGCCAGGAGGAAAGGATGGAGCAAACGGGGCTGTGTGCTATTTATAGGAAGTGGGAAGGTCGAGTAATGGGCTATGGGAGCCTACGGTGTCATTTTATGTCTATCTCAGTGTCTGTTACAGGCTCCTAGAAAAGGAGCTATTTTTCTCCTTTAATATTCCCCAAAGCAGTCAATACTAGAAAGAAGTGTGTAACTTGGGGGAGTGGGGTGGAGGGAGAGGCCCTTTAAAATGGAAAAATAGAATAATTAAAGTGACCTTTATCAGATCTGGCAGTTAATGGTTAGAAAACCATCTGCCTTTGTAATTACAAGCAAAAGTAGCAGTCCAAAAGAACTTTTATTTGCCACCTTTAGACATGCGCCAGTGACTGTGTGGTTGAGAATTTTGAAAATAATGAATTACCTGTAGAGAGAGGTAATTAGAATGCAGTTAGCGCAACCTCTCTGTCTCCTGGTGAGACAGGAAGTGTTCCTCAGAGAAATGTTATTATCAACAGCCCTGTTTATGTATATTCCCGGTGCTGCTAGCTGACTTCATTAACTAGATATGAAAGAAGTTTCTGCACCCTGTCAGGTACTCCCAAGAACAGAGTATAGAATTGTTATTTTGACTATTGTTTAGATTTTAAAAGGGAATGAGTATGTGCCATGTAGAATCATCAAGAGGTACACATGTTTAATTAGTCATTCCATTAGAAAAACCTGTGCAGGGCACAGGCATGTGCTTTATTTCTGTGTAGTGAAGGCTGCCCTTTAGCTCATGTAGGAAAAGAAACCATGCCAGCTGCGCGGTGCGACTCCCAGGAACTCTGCTGACTGGCTCCAGCCCTCCTCCAGCCTCCTCATTCACTCATTTTAGAACTGCAGAATCCTGAGTCCTATCCTATGTTGGTTCAAGAAGTAGTGTCAAGAGTTCCTAACAAGAAAACCTACAGTTAGGTAGACACAGAAAACAGACTGTCCGAGCAGGAAGGGTCTTGAGGGCTCATCTGCTCCACCCTTCCTTTTGCAGGAGAGGAAATGGAGGCCTACGTTTAAGACACACATCTGACTCATAGCAGGACCTACTGTTGTCCTTCAGTTACCCATAGGACTGTATAAGTTAATACCCCTACAGTCCTTAGAACTGTGCCTAGGACATAGTAAGTGCTCAGTAAACTCGAGTTATCACTTGTTGTTACTTCTAATGGCAGAATTCAAATGAGAATCCAAATGCCCTAACGCAGCCCAGTGTTCTTTCATATTGTGCATGTCCCACGTTGTATACAGAGAAAGGTGTTTGAAGAAGTTGAGTTAAAATCAAGAGTGACGGCCTCAATGCCATTGCTGAGCGCATGCTCCATGCTGAGCTCTGGGCTAAGCACTGCATATGTGTTTTCATTGAATCCTCACCGTATCCTGTGAGATTCAC